ATATACATAGACGTGTGTGCTGTCAGAAGAAGTATCGACGGCCACGTCTCCTTCCATTTTCTCATCGAGGGGGAACATCTGTTTGTCCTGGTTTGTTTTGTTATTTTAGCGAAGGCCTACAGTTCTTTTTGCATCATACAAGACGAGAGGTAGACAAAGGAAAAAATGCCATTGAGTCCGGCAAGAACGATGCGTGTCAAGGCCCAACAACAAAACAGTCAAATCAGCTCCCCCCGTCTGTCAGACGAGGAGAAAAAGCGCATTCGTGAGAAGAAGAATAACAAGTCGTCGATCCCTGGATGGCTTGTAGCCTTGATGCTTTTCATCGTGCTCGGGTCGACAATTGTGCACATATATTTTACCATTGTCTCATCTCCTAAAATGTGAAAGGCCGACTAGCCAGGTCATGGAAGACGCACTGCATTTCTCTATATGGGCGTGTAGAAATCTTTGCCAATGTCCGCTTTATATTGACGAGTGCCTGGCTACACTCACACTACAACGGGATCTACTTTGAGAGACACACATACGTTTGCTTTTCCCCCTTTTGCTTTAGCCGAATGCTAGTTTTTATGAATCACTCCCTTTTTTCCCCCACTTCTTATGCTGCACTGCCATAGTAGGTACATAATGTTTGCCCAATGCAGGGTGCTGTTCTCACAATTCCTTAAGAGAACATTTGTGGGTGGTATGTCATACAACGTAAAGCGACCCTACCGCATTGATATTCGCATGGAGCACGACAAGAAGCGAAGAATGAAGCGCCGAAACGTTGGCTGCAGGAGGATGATGAAGTCCTAGAAATGGGTGCGATAGTAAAATTCTATCGTACTCTTCTTTTTTGTTTGTTGGCTGGAGTTGTCACAACCGTGTGCATCTCTCTCTCTCTCTCTAGGCCTCTCTTTGCCTGCCGGACCCATAGCCATCGACTTGGACTTCTCTATTCCCGCTTTCGACTCCCGTAGGTGTACTGTAAGAAGGAAAAAGAAAATAGAGAGAGTACTTTTCTGCGCGCGTACATCCTCTCACACACACACACACACACACACACTTACAACTCATGAAGATGCGATCATCTCTCTACAGCACTCAGCAGCCAGGGCGGCGAGACGAGCAGGGAACCAGCGCGACTCAGGCCCAGTTCGAAGAGGAAGTTATGCAGGAAAATGAGGCTCTCTTGAATGCTCTAGGAAACACCGTGAACCGAATGAAGGCAACGGCGGGAGCGCTCCGCGAGGAGGCAGAGGGACACAACAAATTTCTAGACACTGTCAGCAGTGCATTTTCTATTGCGAGTGGTGGGGTGAATCGGTCAGTGCAGCGCATTGAAGGCGTTATGGGGCATTACGGTTGGCGACACACACTCCTCATAGGCGCTGTGATTTTTTTCAGTGTGTACTGTGTGTACCTTGTCCTCAAGAGGTGATCTTACATGCGGAAAGACGCAGTTGCGGGTTTTCCTTCTCTCTCAGAAAGAGTTGAAAAGTGATGTCAGATGGCTAAAGAACGATAAGGTTGTGAGAATAAACTAGTATTTCAATTCATATTCTTGTGGTATTTTCCTTTTTTTTCTCACTCCCCTCTCCCTGCCCTTTTGGGAGCGCTTAACTCTTCAATGTAGTATAAAAAGATGGTGTGACCTTTGTTTGTGCTCTGCGGCATTATGACCATTATTGCAGATATGGCTACGACCGTGTCTCTCTGTCAATCCGCCGCTGAGAAGAAGAGGGGGTTGAGGGAAACAATTGGGCCACGTCCATCTGAGCTTGAGCCGATGTACGGTTGACGGTTCATACTACTACTACTACTACGGCGGGTGGAGCAATCAGAATGTGGAGACATATGTCTTTCTCTTGGAGGAGCAGTAGAAGTGTGTACTCCTTCTCTAGGCCTGGTTGACCGTGGGTGGGGTGCTACCTCTCTTTTACATACTCCGACCTGAATGATAAGGGTACAGAAACTATCAGACGACAGCATATATGCACTGCGTGAGCGCAACAGAAAGGTGGCACAAGTTCCCAGGGGGGATGGCAGGTGCAGGTCTGCCATCAGTTGTGATGTTTCTGGTTTTTTTTTTAGGCAATGTTCCTCTCTCTTTATAGCAACCCCGTTGTAAATGTGTTGGGGTGGTGCATTGTTTTTCCTCTGCTTTTTGGCTCTCCATAGACGCAAGCAATAGAAAAATGTTACGGAAGTTACATGTGCCAGTCAAAAACCTCCTGGCGGCCACAGTGTGCGGCGCACCAATGTCGCTCTTCTCTTCTGTCAGGTGGGAGAGAAACAAGGGTGGTGCTCTCGCAGGTGCGGCCGACGAGAATGAGGAAGACTTTAACATGATATTTAACGATGACTTCCAATTTCTCGACGAGTGCTTCGGTGAGGGGGGTGCCGATATCTTTGACTATATCCCAGAACATGAGGCTGCTCTGTTGGGCCACGAAGGCACATCGCATCTAAAGCCGTCTGGTGGGGACCGCCGGATTTAAGACCTATTCGCGTACAGACTTGAGGCGTGTACCTGCATAAGCATCGTGTGTAGAAAACAAAAAACTGTCCTCAGCGATGCACCCCTAAGTGAAAACTATTTCTTCTTTATTTTCTTTTTGTTTGTTTTCCAAGTCTGCTTACAGCAAAACGTCAGTTTTAGTGTGACAAAATGGATGGCCCACTGTCGCAGCGAACAGCTTCACTTTATGTTGGGGATTTGCCGGTGGATATGAGCAACCCGGAGGAGGCTCTTGGCAGGGTGTTCGGTAGTGTGGGACCTGTCGCTTCCATCCGGGTTTGCCGGGACATGAACACACAGCGTTCGCTTGGCTATGCGTACGTGAATTTTCAACACCCGGCTGATGCTGAGAAGGCCCTGGAGACTTTGAACTACACGGACATCATTCCTGGTCGTCCGATTCGTATCATGCCATCGATGCGGGATCCCACGATGCGGCGTACCGGGGCAAACAACGTATATGTGAAGATTTCCGATAAGTCATGGACAGCGAAAGATCTACGAGATGTATTCTCGAGCTGTGGAAAAGTTCTTTCTGCTAAGGTGACCTGCGACTCCGATGGTAAAAGCCTCGGTTATGGATTTGTTCTTTTTGAAAGCGCTGATGCTGCGAAGGCAGCACTTAACATGGGCGTTGACAGCCTTGGTGATGGCGTGGCTGCAGTTGCCCCATTTATCCGAAAAATGGAGCGCTTGGCGGAAGAGGCGAAAACCTTTGTTAACGTATACACAAAGAATATTAAAAAGGGGGAGGCTGAAGAGAATGTTCGGAAAGAGTTTGAGAATTTTGGAGAGGTGACGAGTATGTTTCTCTCGGGCCACCCACAGCATGAGACCATGTTTAGTATTGTCTCTTTCGCGACACACGACGCTGCTGTTGCCGCCATTAATTCGCTAAACGGCAGTGCGGATAGTCCTATCGCTATTCCGGATGGCAAGCTGTTTGTGTGCAGGGCTCTGAAAAAGAAGGATCGCCAGCAGGCTGAAGCAAGTGGGCAGGCTTTGTACCAGAGTCAAGGGCGCAACCTTTACGTAAAACATCTCGATGACAGTGTGACACGGGAAAAATTGGAAGAACTCTTCTCTCCATTTGGTAAAATAACATCTTGCGCTTTGATGCGGGATGCCTCTGGTGTTTCACGAGAATTTGGGTTTGTCTGCTTTGAGACCAAAGAAGATGCTGCCGCTGCGCTGCGCGAAATGAATAGCAAAACGGTTTACAGCAAGCCCTTGTATGTGAGCTATGCAGAACAAAAGGACATGCGTCGTCGTATTTTACATGAAAAAATGCAAAGAGTTCTCCGACAGCAACAACAGCAGCAGCACCGTCCTCCAGTTCCAATGACAATGTTCAACCAACCATGGTCCCGTAACTACCCTGTCAATCCTACGTTCAGGCCACCGTTCATGCAGCCACCAAATGCAAGACGACCACCGCCGCCAATGTTCATGCCCCAAACCATGCCGCCACCGCCCCCTCTTATGATGAACCAGGGGACGAATCGCCCACATTACACGCCGCCACATTCCTCGCTGCCGCCGCCACCACCACCACCGCCACCGCCTATGCAACAACCGGTGCGGCACTTGTGGCAAAAGGCTAATGGTGAGGAGCTGCAACCTGACCAGATTGCGAAGTTATCACCCGAGGAAAAACGAAACATTTTGGGTGAACGTCTATTCGGTAAAGTGGTGGAGATACGACCAAATCAGGCTGCAAAGATAACAGGTATGTTGCTAGAGATGGAAACAGCAGAAATCCTTGAGATCCTGGATGTTCCATCCCTTCTAATGGCCAAGGTGGAGGAAGCTGTTGTTGTTCTGCGCCAGCACTCCAACGGAGTGTGATATCCGGGGCCGCTTGTTCACTATTAACTAAGAGATCATTAAGCTTTTCGTTCAGACGCCTTTCAGTTTGTAACAGGGCGATAGCAACATCTACCCATCTGTAAGCTGCCGATGCTGTATACTCCAAGTCTTGTTGTTGTTTTTATTTTTTTGCTGTGCACCTTTCTTCGTGTTACTGGATTTTTTTTTCTTGCTGTTTTGTTTTGAATTGGGCAACAGATGTGACGTAGTCTCTGGAACTAACATCAAGGATCCTTTCGTACAAGACTGCGTTGATGTGTGGACAGAGGCAGAGGCATCTACACAAACGATGTCGACGGACGCTCTGAGTCCGTTTTTTAAAAGCCCAATGATTGGATGCCATCATGCCGTGTATTTGTATTGCATATTCACTGTTGCCGGACCAGTGGATGGACTCTTTGATCCTCTTGTTGCTGGCTTAATTACGATCTCAGGGGTGTGAGGGTGAAACAAGCCTATAAGGCAAAGGAACGACAGTGGATGACGGAATGGGGATTCCTCAGAAGTTGCCGTAATGCGTGGAGTTGGAAAGTCACGCCTCGTCGGTGAAGATTTGCAAAGGGGTGTGGGGAGGGGGGGGATGTGTGGTCTCTGGTGCTTTAACCAAATTCAGAGTCGGGACGAATAAGTAAGAAAGAGGGGTAGTGTCATGGCCCGGTATTCACAAGAAGGCGTGATTTTCAGAGTTTTGCACGTCTATGCTATCACCTCTACTATATGTTCCTATCATTCCATTCTCCACGGGCGTATCACGCCTGTTCTGTGAATTCTCTTTGTTTCACTCTTTTTTTTTTGTATTATTATCGTCAGAACTAAGTCGATAACAAAGCAAGATAATTGCGGTCATATCAAACCTCTTGCTAGTGAAGTGTTTATTAGCTTTACTAGTAAGAAAAAAAGCATCCGAGGCTCAAAGGCGCTGCAAAGTTCAAGAAGGCGGTCTCTAGAACACGGCCCTCGGCTTTGATGTTAGCCAACTGCCTCTCTCTGGTATTTTGGTGGAGCTCCTTTCTCCTTACAGACTTGCAGATTCCTGGATTTTCACAAAATGCCGTTATAGCACAGCTGGACAATCTCTCAATATCTGAGGTGCGAATTGGGGCAATGAGTGGCACGTTCAACTCTTCACTCTGGTCGCTGGAAGTAGCAGGCTCGTCAAAGGCCACATGCTCCCTCAATCTGAAAAAGGGCCGAAAGGTACATCTGCTTACCGCCGACGCCGAGCTGCTTCCTGTGAACATCACTCTCAGCAAGTCAGTTGACGATGTCTGCTTCAGCACTCGCGCCGTCGCAGAGTCGTGTGAGTTTCAAGTGAAAATAGGGGACGTGACCCTTGACCCGCCGGACAAGCTTCTTCAAACGATGATTAAAAAATTCAAGAAAGTACTTGAGAATATGGTGAACAGTATTGTATGCAACACAGGACTCGATTTTCTCGTACAAGAGCTGCAGAATCACACATTGGAACTCCCCGCACCGCCCCCACAAATGGTCCAAGGCGCCACGCCTCTGGGGGACGCGGTGCTGTTTCGTACACTCGTCAAGACTCTCAACAGTGCCCCACCAATTCAGGGTATCGAACTTGGTGGGTCGATACACGCTGGAACGACACTGCATATAGATTTGGGATTTTCCAATGGCATTGACTTCACGCCTGAACAGTCTACAAATCTGCCGTCTGCATTAAGTAAGTTGACGGAACTGCTTGATGTGCTGGGTGGCGGTGGGATTGTTGAGGGTCTGCTAAAGCTTCTCCCCACCATTGAGGGCGCCGCTATGGGGTTGAACATCCCGAATGTCTTCAGCCTCTCCTTTGAGCTCTCATTTCATGATCTGCAGTGCAGCGACGACGGTATCGCATGCACCGTGCCACGAGTTGGTGGTATCACGGTGGGGAATATTCGGTCGGAGAACCTTGGGGAATGGGACAGACTCATCACAAGCCATATTGGTCCCCTGGTTGCTCCTCTCTTGAGCAATGTGATTGGGCGTGCCATGAACCTCACGAATTCTACCGGTGAACGCTTTCTTATTCCTATTGTGGAAGAGGCTCCTGTGGATACCGTGCCGCCAACAGTAATTCTGGTTTTGTTGGTCGTCATCTCTGTGGGACTCCTTGTGGGCACGGCTGTACTCAGTATTTGGCGCTACCGCCGCTCTACCGTAACCACACATGATGGTGTGCCGATATCGCTGAAGCGCGTGTTGGTCGAGGACATGGGCTTGATGGTGATGATTGTGGTCACGGCCTTTGGATTTACGTGGTCAAACTCTACCACTGCCGCTACATTGGTAATAGGCGACGATCTGCACGTGATGTCTTTCTCATTGATGGAATCCACGAAGAACATGTACCATGCGCGTGTGTATGTGTTTGCATTTCTTGTGTTTGCATTCAGCGGTGTGTACCCGTACATCAAGCTTGCGGCCATCGTGGTGTGCACACTTGTCATGCAGAAGCCTGATTTGGTACTCCTCAAGATCATCGACTATTTTGGTAAGTTTTCGTTCCTTGACTCGTACGCTATGCTTGTTATGACAGCAGGACTGCAGCTTGAGGGCATCGCTGAGGTGGAGGTTCGCCCCGGTTTTTACATGTTCCTGTCTTCGACGATTCTTTCTATCCTCGTGGGTAACTACGCCACGACTGTGTGGCGCCGCAACACATCACTTCGTCAGAATACCAAGGTATTGGCTGAACCAATCGATTCCGAGATACCCAAGCTGCAGGCCGATTTGGAAGAAAGCAGCGAAGAGGGCAAACACATCCGGAGCACTGCATGGAAAAAGCAAATGGCTCTGCGTGCGTTGAATGTGGCCTTTATCCTTGCTTGCATTCTCCCTGCGTGGATTGCCCCGTGCCTGCGCTACAGCGTTACAGGGGTCGTGTCTGTGATTCAACCAGAGGATAGGAAGATGAGCCTTTCAGAGCTTGGCGCAACGAATTGGCTGTTTTTACTCACTTGCATTTTCACCATTGGTGTGGCTCCTATTATCTATGCCGCCATGTTCCCGCGGTGGAGAGTGCTCGCGGCGTGGTGCGCAGTGGACGCGCTGCTGTTGGCTTGTGTGGCTGGTCTGCTTCAGATTAGCCAATTCGTTGATTACATGCTCGGGAGCAACATGAGCAAAATCTATGGTGCGGAGGCACACCTTCTGTGGCCACTAATCCCTCTGCTGATTTCCTCGGTGTGGCAATGGATGCTTGCTGCCGAGCAGACCTTTGACGTAACGCATCGCATAAAACGATGCATCGCGTCACGGAAGGCAGAAGAGCCTCCACTAACACCATAAGAAAACGACTATTTTTGTTTTTTTTGTTTTTTTTTTTTTGTGATGATTCCCTTCTTTGTCTTGTATTTTCTCTGATACCCCAGGGCACACAACGATCCGGGAACGGAGATGGAAGACTTTTATTTTTGTCCTTCTTGAGTTTTTAATTATTTGGAACATCTTGGTAGTGCCACGTGGAGTGACTGCCACAGATTTGAAAGTGGGATTCTTGGGGATAGCTAAGTGAATATAAAAACATTATGAAGAAACCTAAAAAGATGCAAAGCATTCATTCTCTGACCCCCTCTCCTTTCCCTTGTTGCCGAACTCACAAGGGGGCACTCAAGGAACAGTATAACAACGGCACAATTTTTTTAAAAAAGTGCCTCAGGGAAAAGAAAAAAAAAGCATAAGGAAGTAAAAAACTTCGTTCTATGAGGATAATTCTATAATAGAGTACTGAAAAACCACTGCTCAACACTGTGTTCCCCGCGCTTTCCATGGCGTGGTGCCTTGCCCATACCATCTGAGACGGTTGCGTTCAACGGCCTTGTCTCATATTTTCTTTTTGTTTTGCTTCGTTTTTTTTTTTTTTCTTTCTTTTTTCCCTTTCTTGAAGAATACAGTTTATTGGTGAAGGGCAAGGGGAGAAAGGGGAAGGAGTGTGTACAGGCTCGGGGGGATTGGAGGCGGTGCACCTCTCCGCGGGATCCGCCATTCCCGTCGTGGGCAACACACGCCCACCAAAGTCACGTGCACCACGTGCAATCAAGCACCGTGGCGCAGTGGAAGCGCGATGGGCTCATAACCCATAGGTCGTTGGATCGAAACCAACCGGTGCTAAGTTTTCTTGTTTATTTTTACTCCCCCTGTATTTAAATTTATCGAGTGCTCTGAAGACAAAATGGCAGCGCAATGCTTTGCTCAGTCTTTGCCCGGAACAAGCCACTAGCCAATCGATCGGTGGATTTCTTCAAGGACAAGAAGAGACGCTGTGCCTTGCCG